GCCTACTTTTCGACCCTCCGGAGCCACAAAACATGGAACAAACACAGTGTTTCGCGACTTTCCTACCTTTTCGCACACCTGCATCTTCTTTCTTCTGATCTTTTCTCTTCTGATTTTTCTCCCCTCTGACTCTGCTCCCGTCTGGCTCTTCGCACCTCTGTTTTTCATCTGTCCATATTGTCGGAAGTTTAACTTCTAAACTTCGTTCGATAAGATGATATGTGTTTGTAAGTGGGGTATACCAGTGCACCACAAAAATAGCAATTTAATGTGGAAGATGATTAACTCGTGGATTTTGGGTTATTGTCCATTTACAAACCCGAAAGAGGTCTTTTAATCAGTAACAACGAGCAGCAAACGGGGTGGCCTTCTTTTTCCCCAACAGCAAAACTTTGCTATGGGGTCTTTAGCCCGGATTGGCTCTCCGGTGCGATCCGGTGCAGCTTCAACACCAGGTTGCGGACAAGGTTCCGGAGGGTTCTGGTGCAGATACCTCGTGAGGCTCCGGAGGGTTCCGGTGCAGATACCTTGTGAGGTTCTGGAGGGTTCCGGTGAAGATACCTGCTGAGGCTCCGGAGGGTTCTGTGCGGTTCCGGAGGGTTCCGGTGCAGATACCTTGTGAGGTTCCAGAGGGTTCCGGTGCAGATACTTAGCTTGCCCCTTGTGAGGTTCCAGAGGGTTCCGGTGCAGATACTTAGCTTGTGAGGTTCCGGAAGTTTCCGGTGCAGGTACTCGGTGACGCGGTGAGGTTCCGGAGGGTTACGGTGCAGATACAGTACTTGGTTAGGTTCTAGAGGGTTTTGGTGCAGGTACCCGGTGAGGTTCCCGAAGTTTCCGGTGTAGCTACCTGATGAGGTTCCGGGTCTAGGTGAAGATGCGTGGTGAGGTTCCGGAGGGTTCCGGGGCAGATACCTTGTGAGGTTCCGGAGGGTTTTGGCGGAGAAGATGCTTGGTGAGGTTCCGGAGGGTTCCGGTGCAGATACCTTGTGAGGTTCCGGAGGGTTCTTGTGCAGATGCTTTGTCAAACTCCAAAGGGTTCCGATGTTTTTTCTGGCATAAGCATTTAATTTTTATGGCACAAGCGATTAACTTTTAGGGCAGAATGACTTTTTAAGGCAAAAACGCAGAAGCTTTCAAGCTGTTGGGGATAGCACCTGAGTTTATTTTTCTCTCTTTTTGGAAATTGCACAAGTAACTAAAGAATCTCAGTGACGTTAAACCCGTTGTACAAACGTTTGCGACTCGGAGTTAGAAATGTCCAGTTGGCAGTTTGCAGTTTGCAGCAGCTTCAGGTTCTGGATCCATCAGGTGGTTACCAGGTAAATCCCATCCCCCTTTTTTTTGAGCCCCCTTTGAAATCATGATGGCATGTATTGGATTTATCGTGATTTATCTATTGGATTTGTCAAAGGAAGTTGGGAAGCAATCTTCCGAGTTACGGACAAATAGAATTGTGAGACTCTACATCACAAAACAATACATCACATAACAATACATAACATAACAATACATCACATAAACGAAGGGTGGTGACTGAGGGAAGTGGTGATGAAGGGAGTGGTGACTAAGGGAAGTGGTGATGACGAAGGGTGGTGAAGTGGTGATGACGAAGGGTGGTGACTGAGGTAAGTGGGGAAGGGTGGCAGTGACTAAAGGAAATGGTGATGACGAAGGGTGGTGACTGAGGGAAGTGATGCTGCAAAACGCATTGTAATGGCCGCATGAAGGTTGCATGGGACTCGTGTTGGGGAGGAAGCCGGAACACCAAACCTTGTGTTTTTCCGCGTAAAGTGGCTGCAGCCGGCGATGAAGGGCAGCTCCTGTGTGAGGCGGGTGCGGCTTGGATCGTTTCAACGCGTAATCGGTTCTTCAATGGTGTTATGCAACGTGTGGATGCTGATATCGCATTGTAATGGCTCCATGAATGTGTGCGTGGTGCTAGAGAACGCATTGTGATGGCTGCATGAAGGTTGCATGGGACTCGTGTTGGGGAGGAAGCCGGAGCACGAAACCTTGTGCTTTTTCCGTGTAAAGTGGCTGCAGCCGGCGATGAAAGGTACATCCTGTGTGAGGCGGGTGCGGCTTGGATCGTTTCAACGCGTAATCGGTTCTTCCATGGTGGTCTGCAACGTGTGGATGCCAATCGCATTGTAGTGGCTGCATGCATGTGTGCGTGCTGCTGCAAAACGCATTGGAATCGCTGCATGAATGTTGCATGTGACTCGTGTGGGGAGGAAGCCGGAGCACGAAACTTGTGTTTTTCCGTGTAAAGTGGCTGCAGCCGGCGATGAAGGGCAGCTCCTGTGTGAGGCGGGTGCGGCTTGGATCGTTTCAACGCGTAATAGGTTCTTCAATGGTGTTCTGCAACGTGTGGATGCCAATCGCAATGTAATGGCTGCATGAATGTGTGCGTGGTATTAGAAAACACATTGTAATGGCTGCATGAATGTTGCATGGGACTCGTGTTGGGGAGGAAGCCGGAGCACAAAACCTTGTGCTTTTTCCGTGTAAAGTGGCTGCAGCCGGCGATGCAGGGCAGCTCCTGTGTGAGGCGGGTGCGGCTTGGATCGTTTCAACGCGTACTCGGTTCTCCCATGGTGTTCTGTACCGCGTGGATGCCAATCGCATTGTAATGGCTGCATGAATGTGTGTGCGTGGTGCTGCAAAACGCATTGGAATCGCTGCATGAATGTTGCATGGGACTCGTGTTGCGGAGGTAGCCGGGGCACGAAACTTGTGTTTTGCCGTGTAAAGTGGCTGCAGCCGGCGATGAAGAGCAGCTCGTGTACGCAGCGTGTGCGGCAGCGGTCGTTTCAAGGTCGAATCGGTTCCTCCTTGGCGTTCTGCAACGTGTGCTTGTTCATGTGTGCGTAGTTCTATGCCCTTGTTGAATCTCTGCAGATCGCAATGTAATGGCTGCATGATTGTTGTCATGTTCTGTTGCCATGTGCGTAGATACATGCGGGTTAGCCACCTGATGCTGCAAAACGCAATGTAATGGCTGCATGAATGTGCACGTGGTGCTGCAAAACGCAGTGTAATGGCTGCATAAAGGTTCCTCGCTCCTGCGGCTGTGCGCGTAATACTATTGTGTTTTGCAGCTGGGCATCGTAATTCGTATTGGAGTGGCTGCATCAAGGTTGTGACAGTTATTTGTCAGCAGATTTTTGCAATTTTGGGGCTGGTGACCTTTCTTGTAAAATTCCTTTTAAAAAGTGCTTCAAAATCGTATTTTCTTCGCTTTGGCGCCGAGATCCGGTTTTGGAGGTGGAGTTTCTGGCGCCGTTCCGTGCAGTTCTATTGCGTTCTGCAACTCAGTCGCTGCAGATCGCAGTGTAATGGCTGCATGAAGGTTCCTCGCTGCTCCGGCTGTGCGCGTAATATGATTGTGTTTTGAAGCTGGGGATCTTAAATCGTAATAGAGTCGCTGCATCAAGGTTGCGACAGTGATTTGTCAGCAGGTTTTTTCATTTTTTTGGGCTGGTGATTTTCTTTCGTTCGCTTTGGCGCAGAGATCCAGTTTTGAAGCTGCAATTCCTGTTGTCATTATGTACGAGAAAGCTTCTCTGTCTAAAAACTTCTTTCTGTAAAAGCTTGCTGTGTGTAAAAGATTTTGTGTGCAAAAACTTGCTGTGTGTAAAAGCTTTCTGTGTGTAAAAACTTGAGGCGTGTAAAAGCTTCTCTGTGTGTAAAAGTTTCTCTGTGTGTAAAAGCTTCTCTGTGTAAAAACTTCCCTGTGTAAAAGCTTGCTGTGTGTAAAGCTTTCTGTGTAAAAGCTTCTCTGTGTGTAAAAGTTTCTGTGTGTACAAGCTTCTCTGTGTAAAAACTTGCTGCGTGTAAGCTTCTCTGCGTGTACAAGTTTCTCTGTGTAAAACCTTCTCTGTATAAAAGCTTGCTGTGTGAAAAAACTTCTCTGTGTGCAAGCTTTGTAGTACAAAGTAGTACTGGGACGTACTTTGTGCAAGCTTTGCCGTACAAAGTAGTACTGGGACGTACTTCGTGGAAGCTTCGTAGTACAAAGTAGTACTGGGAAGTGCTTTTGGGCGACCTTTCATCTTGACGGACCATACGGGGGTATCTCAAACATTGGCTAAATATCTCCATGTCAGAACGATAAAACCAGGTTAAGCCGCTCCAGGTTTGCTGGTTAATTCCCCATGTTTGTACCAAACATTTTCTCCTTTAAGCTCCTTTATAAGGAGGTTTCCATAAATGGGGGATCCCCACAATGGATGGTTTATAATGGAAAATTCCATCAACATGGATGATTTGGGGGTACCCCTATTTTAGGACCCCCCCTTTGGAATCCTGTGGATCTACCTTTGGACCTTCGGATCATCGAACCTTGTCGGAACGCCAGGCGGTTAAGGTGCGGCAAGATGTACAGATGCTGCAATGTGTTGAAACCAAGACGACGGAGCAGAGGCAACTTGTCCGATGGCATCATTTCTGGCTGTGGTTATGGGATGGGCCATGGCTCAATTTTTTCAACACACCCAAAATTTGATAAGTGATAATTCATGCCAATTAGTTGATGAAAATCATTTGGTGATGATGATCTCATCCATATTACTTTGCACATGATTATCATCCCATTTGCTTGTCTATACCGGCAACATTCTTGGGAGGGTTTAATGGGGTTACCAGGTTTTGAGCCATATGGCCCAGCAGGCACCAGGGCAAGGTGCGTTCCAATTCTGCTTGGGAAGGGGTTTTCATGGATTTTGGAGGATTTTCATTGATCAGGTGAGATTCCCAGAAACCTTTTGTTGGGTCGGCACTCTCAAGATCCGAGGAAGGAGGGCGACCGGACCATCCAGGTGGAGCCTGCGATGGCTATGCGAAAGTGGGGGGGGGAACTGTCGGGAACTTATTTGATAGTGGGGAAATTTACAAATGATTGTCATTGGCCCATCAGACCTCCTGTTGGGCTTTTACTACATCACCAGGGTCACCTTGGCATCGCAGCAAATTTGCTCGCCGGCAACGCCTGCCACTTGTCACACTCCTCACTGCCACTTGGGCCATGGCTGCCTTTTGCTACCAGATGACCTTCATCGAAGAGGTTGCTGAACCAGTAGCAGAGGTCCGAGCAAAGAGCTGTCCACCAGTGCTGAATCTCTGCTTTCTGAAATAATCTGAAATGTGGCAAGCCTAAAGCCATGCACCATCCCCCAATGTTCAACAGAAATGGGTGATATATACCATCCAAAAATTTGAAGGTTTCGGATTTGGGTTTGACCACATTAGTAGTTTGCATGATTTTGCATCCCGGAAACTTGTGCTATTCGTTTTTTTTGAAACCCTGAAGCCAAGGAAGACCTTGACAGTACCGAAAGATGCAACCAACCTTGACTTTATGCATGAGCAGAAGCGGCTCGCATTGCAGGTCCGCTGGGTTTCAACAAGTAAAGACTCCACTTGTTGAGATACATTTAATATCATTTGCATTCATTTGTTTTTAGTTTCAACATTACATAACATTACGTATAGTTACTTTACGCTTGATGCACCTCAAATCTTCAAAAGGTTCAAACTCAGGTGTAAACCATGTTTGCTCTTACCTTTCCAAGACACCAGCGCGTCAACGGAAACAAAGTCGGAAGATGGTGTCAGACCTTCAGATCCGAACTTGCACCACTAAAACCAGCTAAATTAGCAAAGGTTTCAGGGATTCTGACGCAGATCCCTAGGCAGCAACTGCGTCTCGTGTCAGGTGTCCAAACTTCAGGAAAGGTCTCAGCTGCTGTCTACCTTGGGCGGCCGAAGCACAAACGAAATTGGCGCACCTCGCGTTCAGGCGGCAGGGCAGTGGCGGCACGCCTGGTTTTCTGGAAGTCCTATGTGAACATTGTAGATCATGCAAAATTCGAAGTTAGGAGTTTTTCCATGTTTTTTTTTCTTGTTTTGAAGCGTTGGATGTTCCGTGCGTACTTTTCTTTCTTGGGTCGGTCTGGATATTTTGGGGTTAACAAAAACATCCGGTCAGGAGATTCCTTCGCTGGGAAGCTACGGGCATCCCAACATTTGTCGAAGGCCATGCATCCTCTTGGTGAAAGGAACATGCCAGAAGGGCTCAGCCTGCGGTTTCTGCCATTTGGGACATGATGCTCAGCGAAACTCCAGCGAGGCTGTACTCTGATTTCTCTTGTTCTTTCCCATGTATTTCCCCCAGATTCTTGACAATCTGGCGGCTAACCAAATCAGGAATTGCGCGCTCCTTCTTTCGACAAGCAGCAGAGAGACTACTTGAAGCTCCTGCCACGTGCGATCTTCTTGGAGATGATTTTACCGTATGTGCGCAAGACGGTGGAGGCTCGGGGATTACAGTGGATGCTAGTGGATGATAGATCTAGTGTTGGTAGAAAGCATCAGAAAGCGATGGGCTTTGTCAGGCCAGTGAGCTTCCTGGAGCCTGTCAAGTGCTTCAGCTACTGGAGAGCGAAATCGCTGTCCGAGCGGCATCTGCTGGTTTTCCGAAGGCCCGAAGGATTCCACGCAGGATTCGCCATGTGTTGGAGCGGATGAGTTTGGCCAATTTGGTCAGTGTGATCTGCTCGACCCTCACTGGGCGTTTTCCAAGGGTTTTGGCCAATGAGCTCAAGGACTTGCGTGAGATCGCCCAGACTTTAGAGTCTTGAACCCAGCCAGTGTTGGCATGAGCCCAGTGAAAATCTAATGCGAGGATTCGCGAGGTGTGTTTGTATCATATACAGTCATACATATATATATATATATTATAGTCATTAGACCATTGATTGGTGGGAACATTTACAGGAAACTCACAAAACCATGAAATTTAGTTTATTCTGCCATCAAATATAGGGTTTTCCTGTACATATTCCTATAAACCAATTCACAGATATATGCACAGTGCATACATGTTGCAGGACATACAGGCCTGGTTTGTGGTCATGACTCAATTTCGCAAGATGCTGTGCTGAAGCATAGCGTTTTGATGTATGAATCCGCTAAGAATCATTGATTGATCCGCGTGCAGATCTGTCTGAAAGTCGGGTACCTTCAATTCCAGTGCTTCATCATCAGTTTCCCCACCAAAAAGTCTAATGTGGTTGAAACAATAATAATCCACCCATTTGGGAATGGTCACCATACCACCTATAAGAATGGTGATGAGTGGGGGATGGTTTACGACATTGTTTTACCCACATTGTACTATAGGGCTATCCCAGTATCTAGCATTTTTGGACAGCATGATGCCGTGTCGATTCTTCTGACTTTGCTCATAGTGAAGCTGGTTGAAGCTCCCGGGCAGCGTGCTGGTACGGGGGCTCATCAGGCTGAACCAAATCTGTTCCCTGCAGACTTGGAATTCTCATGATCTAGCACTTCCCACTTTCCTGTGCAGTTCGGTGATTTCCTGCCATTTCATGATTTGAATGTTCTGACATCAAGTGTTTTTCATCCCCAAATATGGAACATCTTGACATGTCTGCTCTCCATCTTTATGGGTTTTGCACGTTTTTTTATTTTTCTCGGAGTTTTGGCCTATTTTTTCCCTGTCATGTCCTCGTCGGCGGTTTTCACTGTGCGTGCTTCAACCCAAAGACCCTGAAGTGATGCCCGGGACATCATTCAACTTGTTAAACGAAAGCACGTACTTTTGATAAGAAGTTTGAGGAATTTGAGGTATTTGGGCGATCAAAATTCATGGGTTTTAGAACGTGTAATCACTGAGACACTGGGAAGGAAGAGATCATGGTGTGGAATCTCCAAGGACATCATAAGTGCGTTACGGCGGTACGCCATTCGATTCCTTCGGTCAAGCATGTGTCATGTTCTCATGTGTCTCATGCCTCTGCCCACCAAGTTGTTAATTGAACACCATTGGAATGCTTCGAATGTTTGAACGGATTTAGGCTAATGTCAACCCTGGATTAATAAACCCCTGGGCTGTTTACTTGGGAGGGTACCATTTAAGTATTAGATTATGACTATTGGAGGAGTAACCCCCTTTTAATTAATAAACCATGGTTTATTAATCCGGGGTTGACATTTTTGAAACCAATGTTTGGTGGCAGTTCAGTGGCATGTCTTTTTGAAGATTTCTGAATGTGGCATGTGAATTTGAAGATTTCTGAAACAGTTGCGAAACAGTTGCGCCGCCCAGCTCATCGATCTAATTTTTGAAAGGGGGCACACACACAAATAATCTCGGCACCTCATAATGAAGTCATTTTGTGACATGCTCCACTTTTATTGTGCCACAAATGCCACAAATGGTTGGTATCTTCTTGTTCTTGTTCTTCTTGATGTGTCTTGGTTTGGGCTTGTAAGACAATTTGTATCTGATCCACAACAGCAGCGGCTGCCACAATACGCCCGATGAGGTGGGGTGCAACACGCTTTGAAGCTAGTACAGATCAAATGATCTCAGACCTGTTGTCAGGCTCTGCGACATTACAATGGAGCATGTTGAAACTCGCCTTGAAAAAACTTTGAAGACAATTCGGACGAACTCAAGGTGAACTTAAAACATCGTTGCAGGTTGAAGGCATGGCCAGCTTGTGAGAGTTGCTAGGTGGTAGTGGTAAAGACAATGTTCTTTACATTGACGCATTGCCCTGTTGCAAGCATGCACTCCAAGACGGCATGAACATGAGAAAACCAAGATGCGATGCATGATTTCCAAGAAGTTTTTTCATCGTTTTGATATAGTGTAGGGAACCCCCCTGATGACGTGATTTGTCAACGTTTACATGGGTTCGTCTGGAAATCGGGTACCCCATTCCATCCATTATTGGTCAATCATCATCATTCATTATCCCCATAAACATTTGCATAAGTGGGAGGCCAACCTCCCATTTGCAGACACACCCAAATATCATATGGTTGGTTGATTGGATCCTATATGATCATTGTATAGTCCCATTATATCCCCACCAAATCCCCATAACATGATTGTTTTGCATGGGGTTCAATCCCACATTACATCCCAAATGGCCATTTCCCGGATGTGTGATGCCCTCGACAGGGTTCTGCGGAGTGATCCATGCAGTTCTCTACCCGGAAGATCTGGCGCAAAAAACTTTGTGCAGCCAACTCTTCGGACCACGCCACAACCTGAAAAAAATGAAAAAGGGGGAGCGCATGAGCAGCGGCAAATTCTGCTACCATTTTTGAGCCTGCATTTCCCTCCCCCCAAAAAACAGACCATGCAGCGATTTAGTCAAATGTTATTGTGGGGTGCCTCTTTTGTCCTAGATCGGAACCACTGCAGAACCTGAAAGTTGCAGACGTCACAACTGCATGGAGGTATGAACGAAGCTGTGCGATCATGTGCAGCTGCAACCATGCTTACAACCCAATCAAAACATCTGAAACATCACGAATGAATGTCCAAATCTCCAGGCTCTCATAGAACCTTGATCTAGATGATATCCGCATGCCATCTGTCACCAGTCCTTCTATTCTGCACACGTTGTTTCCTGTCATATCATTCCACATATTGAAACACATTACACATCATAAATCCCTGTAAAGTCATAATCGTATTTCATACATACTATATCATACTACATATTTACAATAATTCCATCCCCCTAATATTATAATATTAAAGACCCCCATTCTATTGTTCCAAATGTGTGATTTTATCCCCTACCAAACCATGGTTTCTGGGGCGTGTACCCAAAAATAAGGGGAGGGATTGTAAGTAATTCCAACTATCCATCAATCATCCATTCATTATCCATGTTAATCATCCATCCAGAAATCCATTAGTCATCCCCATAGATAATATTTCCATTCATGTCCCAAAAATTGGGGGATGGGATTATTTACATCTGAGCAGTGTTCAAAACCCTGGTTGGTTGATGATTCTAGGGGATTAGAATTATACCCTTCTTTACCGGACTCCACCAGGTGGATCGCTACAGTTACGACCTCCAGTGGCGTTCCGGCCCCGTGGATGCCACGAGCTTTCGCGCGTGGTCGAGCAACGCGGCGCGCCATGCGCTGCGGGATGGATGTGGCGCAGGTGGCCTGGACTGGGAGATGGGCCATGGCCATGGTGACTTAGCATGACTTAGCCAACCAAAAACGGTGGACATAGATATACAAATGATATACACATTCTGTATGTATGTAAATAAATTAAAATATATATATATATATAATGGCAACACCGGATTAATAAACCCCATGAGGATCCCAGAGGATTCTATTGGATTTGATGAGATTTGCTTGCTAAAATATCATGGATCCCACAAGATTCCATTGGGTTTGATGAGATTTGATTGCTAAAATCTCATGGATCCCACATTATTCCACTGGATTTGATGAGATTTGATTGCTAAAATCTCACGTGTCTGAGATTGATGAGACATGATGAGAACAAAAAGAATTGGAAATAATTAATTTTGGTTAACAAAAGGGAATTTCAGCACTGGAGGAGTGATGAGAAACAACTAGACGACGGATGGCCCGAGAGCGTAGAGGAGCAGGGTCTTCCCTTGTTAGCATGGAGACACCATAGTACAAGACAATAGATTAAAGATGTATTAGAGGCAGACGAGAAAGAGTACTATCAAGACAATATAGCACAAGTAGCTTTCAAAGAAGAGTAGTATCAAGACGAATAGCTTTCAAATAGCCTTTCACACACAACACTTTTACACACAGACGCTTTTACACACAGAGGCTTTTACACACAGACGCTCTTACACACAGAAGCTTCTGATTCTACACACAGACGCTTTTACACACAGAAGCTTTTACACACAGAGACTTTTACACACAGACACCTTTACACACAAAAATTTTTACACACAGATGCTTTTACACACAGAAGCTTTCACACACAGCACACAGAAGCTTTGTACACACAGAAAAAGTCGCAATTTTACCTCAGTTTTTGGCGATCGACCTTCATTTCGTGCGAAAACGTTGCAACGGGAACCCGGAAATCGCAATTTTACTTCAGTTTTTGGCGATCGACCCTCATTTCGTGCGAAAGGGTTGCAACGGGAACCCGGAAATCGCAATTTTACCTCAGTTTTTGACGATCGAACCTCGTTTCGTGCGAAAGGGTTGCGCCGGACAAGTTGAAATCGCAATTTTACCTCAGTTTTTGGCGATCGAACCTCATTTCGTGCGAAAGGGTTGCGCCGGACAGTTGAAATCGCAATTTTACCTCAGTTTTTGGCGATCGAACCTCATTTCGTGCGAAAGGGTTGCGTTTCGTGCCGTCTCGTTGCCACTGCCCCTGCTCCCGCCTTCAAGAAAGAAATAGAAAAGAAGGAGAGGGCAAGAGGGCAAGAGGGCAAGAGGGCAAGAGGGCAAGAGGGCAAGAGGGCAAGAGGGCAAGAGGGGAAGAGGGCAAGAGGGCAAGAGGGCAAGAGGGCAAGAGGGCAAGAGGCGAAGATGTATGAATGAATAAGACTTGTGACGCTGAGAAGATGTGAGAAGATGTGAGAAGATGTGAGAAGATGTGAAGATGAGAAGATGTGAGAAGATGTGAAGATGAGAAGATGTGAAGATGAGAAGATGTGAAGATGAGAAGATGTGAAGATGAGAAGATGAGGAGAAGATGTGAGGACGAGAAGATGTGACGATGAGAAGATGTGAAGATTAGAAGATGTGAAGATGAGAAGATGAGGAGAAGATGTGAGGACGAGAAGATGTGACGATGAGAAGATGTGAAGATTAGAAGATGTGAAGATGATAAGGTGTTTTACAGACCCCCACTATTGGAAGAACCCTGCGCTCAGACGCCCTCGGGAAAAAGAATTGGAAATAAATGATTTTGGCTAAAAAACTAGACGACGGATGGCCCGAGAGCGTAGAGGAGCAGGGTCTTCTCTTGTTAGTATGGAGACGCAATATTAGAAACGATATATGAAAGCTGTGTTATAGGCAGTCGAGAAGAGGAGTATCAAGACAAAATAGTGAGAAGTGCAAGACAATAGTTTGCATCGCAAACACTTTTACACACAGACGCTTTTACACAGACGCTTTTACACACAAAGCTTTTACCCACAGAGGCTTTTACACACAGAAGCTTTTACATACAGAAGCTTTTACACACAGAAGCTTTTACATACAGAAGCTTTTACACACAGACGCTTCTACACAGACACTTTTACACACAGAAGCCTTTACACACAGACACTTTTACACACAGACCCTTTTACACACAGGAGCTGCTTTTACACACAAACGCTTGTACACACAGAAGCCTTTACACATAGACGCTTTTACACACAGGCACTTGTACACACAAACACTTTTACACAAACACTGTTACACACAAACGCTTTTACACGCATACGCTTTTACACACAGAAGCCTTTACACACAATCACTTGTACACACAGACGCTTTTACACACAGGCCGGCCCATGTACTCACATGCTTTAAGACACAAACCCTTGTACACACAGACACTTTTACACACAAAAGCTTTTACACACAGACACTTCTACACAGGTGCACTTCTACACGCAAACACTTTTACACACAAACATCTTTACACAGAAGCACTCTTACACACAAACCCTTTTACACAGAGACACTTTTACGCACAAAAGTTTTGACACACAATGGCTTTACACAGATGCACTTGTACACACAAACACTTTTACACTCAAACATCTTTACACCGAAACACTCCGACACACAAACACGTTTACACACAAACACTTTTATACACACAGAAGCTTTTACACACAATCACGTTTAAACAGATGCAATTTTACATACAATCACTTGTACACACCAACATCTTTACACAGAAACACTCGTACACACAAACCCGTTTACACACAAAGACTTTTACACACAGAAGGTTTTACACACAACACTTTTACACAGATGCACAAGTTCACACAAACATTTTTACACACAAACATCTTTACACAGAAACGCTCGTAATGTGGGATACTATTGTGTCCACAGACCTCAAAATTATTGTGTAACTCTGGAAATGATCGAGGGTACAGTTTTGTGTCCACAGGATTTTGGTGTAAGTTTTTTTTTCATTTTTTATTTTTTAGTTTTTAATTGTTTTTTATTTTATTTTAAAATTTTTATTTTATTTTTATTTTTAATAATAATAATTTTTAATTTAATTATTTCTTATTTTATAATAATTTTTAATTTAATTATTTTTTTATTTTTATTTTTAATTATAATAATTTTAAATTTAATTATTTTTTATTTTATTTTAAATTATTTATTTATTTATTTATTTTTAATTATAATAATTTGTAATTTAATTATTTTTTATTTTATTTTAAATTATTTATTTTTTATTTTATTTTTATTTTTAATTATAATTTTTTTTAATTTAATTATTTTTATTAAAATTGTGTCAGGATACACAATTGTGTCATTGTGTCAGGATACACAATTGTGTCTTGGTCTTTTTTGTTGTTCAAACATTTTTCATTTTTTTCATTTTTTTAAAGCTTTTTCCTTTTACTTTTTATTTTCCATCATTGAAATTTTCCAGATGCCTTCCACAGAAAATTACATCCAGGTACACAATAGTGTGGTTTGTTTGGAGGGTACACTATTGTGTCCAGCTGCTTTCCTGAGGTCATGATTTTTTGATTTTTTCAATCATTTCCTTTACCTTTTCCTTTGCTAAAGTTTTTTCTTTTAATTACTTAATTACTTTCTTAGTTTCTTTCATTTGATATTCTCAGAAATGCCCAGTTTTCCAAAATATATGATGCCTTATTAAAACCCAATTAAAAAACATCACTCAAACAATTTTTCAAGGGGGTAGTCCTTGAGCAACCCTGATACATAATAGTGTGGTTTGTTTGGAGGGTACACTATTGTGTCCAGCTGCTTTCCTGAGGTCATGATTTTTTGATTTTTTCAATCATTTCCTTTACCTTTTCCTTTGCTAAAGTTTTTTCTTTTAATTACTTAATTACTTTCTTAGTTTCTTTCTTTTGAAATTCTCAGAAATGCCCAGTTTCCCAAAAGATATGATGCCTTATTAAAACCCAATTAAAAAAACATCAATCAAACAATTTTTCAAGGGGGTAGTCCATGAGCAACCCTGATACACAATAGTGTTGTTTGTTTGAGGGTACACTATTGTGTCCTGCTGCTTCCTGAGGTCATGATTTTTTGATTTTTTCAATCATTTCCTTTACCTTTTCCTTTGCTAAAGTTTTTTCTTTTAATTACTTAATTACTTTCTTAGTTTCTTTCATTTGAAATTCTCAGAAATGCCCAGTTTCCCACAATATATGATGCCTTATTATAAAACCCAATGAAAACATCACTCAAACAATTTTTCAAGGGGGTAGTCCATGAGCAACCCTGATACATAATAGTGTGGTTTGTTTGGAGGGTACACTATTGTGTCCAGCTGCTTTCCTGATGTCATGATTTTTTGATTTTTTTCAAACATTTCCTTTACCTTTTCCTTTGCTAAAGTTCTTTCTTTTAATTACTTAATTACTTTCTTAGTTTCTTTCATTTGAAATTCTCAGAAATGACCAGTTTCCCAAAATATATGATGCCTTATTAAAACCCAATTAAAAAACATCACTCAAACAATTTTTCAAGGGGGTAGTCCATGAGCAACCCTGATACACAATAGTGTGGTTTGTTTGGAGGGTACACTATTGTGTCCAGCTGCTTTCCTGAGGTCATGTTTTTTTGATTTTTTCAATCATTTCCTTTACCTTTTCCTTTGCTAGCTAAAGTGTTTTCCTTTCAATTAATTTCTTTCTTAGTTTCTTTCATTTGAAATTCTCAGAAATGACCAGTTTCCCAAAATATATGATGCCTTATTAAAACCCAATTAAAACACATCACCCAAACAATTTTTCAAGGAGGTAGTCCATGAGCAACCCTGATACACAATAGTGTGGTTTGTTTGAGGGTACACTATTGTGTCCAGATGCTTCCTGGTGTGATGTTTTTTTCAAGCATTCCCTTTACCTTTTCCTTTGCTAAAGTTTTTTTTCTTTTATGGTATTTCTATGGTATTACTATTGGATGTCTATGGAATTC